TACCTGGTGCAAACCAGTTAAAGCACTTCAGCCACGAGACCATTATTTTAAAGCACACCTTCCAACCTTATTGAAGTCTGCGATGCCAGTTCATCCTAAAGTTCCTCCTACAGTTTCTCCTAAAGTTTCTACTAAAGTTTTTTCTGCTCCTTCCTCTACACAAGTGACTACATTTACTAAAAAGCAGACAACTGGTCCAAAAAGAAAACAAATTAGCTTAGATCGGTGCGCTTCTTGTGAAACGAGCGTGCAACACACAAGAAACTGTAGACAGTGAAATCAAATTTCCCAGCACTAGTAAAGGAATTTCATCTGTAACTCCCAACACTGGTCCTATTTCAGAAAAATCTAACACCAAAACACAACGAACTTCCACCAATTCGTGGCCAGATGATATCTACAACTACGTAAATCTGGTGTCCAGTCTTCCTGATTCGAAAAAGTACGAAATTCTGTGCAATCATTGCCATTGGAAACCTGGTTCTGATTTTTCTTTTCCTCCACGCGAAAATATTGGTAGACGTTTCCGGTTGGCATGGTTATCACGATTTCCATGGTTGGCTTACTCTGCTGTGGCAAACGGTGGTTTTTGCGTCACTTGTGTTCTTTTTGGCAGTGAAAGCACTCATAATGGAAGCGAGCTCCAACTATTGATGACCAGTGCTCTTCCTCCAGGTGCTTCTGCTGTCCAGAAACTATGTCAGCATGGTGAAAAATCCAATGTTCACGCAACGGCAGCTTTCCGTGCTACACAGTTTAAGCGAATGATCGAGAATAAGACACTTGGTATCGATGCATGTGCAGCTGAAAAAACCCACCCCGTAAAAGACCTGCGTTGCAACTGAAACGCCAAGATGATTGAGTTCGATGTACAGCCCTAATTGGATATTTTTTGCTACGAAGAACCTGAAATACACAGGAACAGTACATGCGGTACAGAGTTGTGGTTTTATGTAAGTACAGTGATTTTGTAACATTCTAATGTTGTAACGTTGAAGAACATGGTATGTTAAATATTTGACTTATTTAGTGCGTTTCGTTATTTGCTCTCTAAAATATGGCGTAATTAATGACGAATTATATGATAGAATTCGATGCTCAGAACTCAGGAAATGGCATTTCCGGTTTTGGAGTACGCCACGGTCAGGGTTTAGGCTGGATCCGCGCCTGGTTATTACAATTTCTCCAACAGACCAAGATTGGAAATAATTATTGTAATATAAGTTGAGATAAATAATGTTCCAATTTCTGTATTTTAAACACAATACTATAACTAAAATTACAATATACATGCACAGTAGTCAGTATTATGTATTTCACCGAAATGTGGGAACCATCAAAAGATTCGTACATATATGCCATATGGCTCCGAAAGTTTACAATTCTAATTTTAAAGAGCAATCAACTTGTGATAGCAATAGCAGGCGCGGTTGTTAACGTGAACGCAATACGAATAATTTCTAATACATTACCACAGTTCGCCCAGCGGGCAAAATGACGATTATCCAACATTGAATCAACGTTGGAAATGACCTTCCAGACGCTGGATAGATGTTGAAAAAGGGTTGACTATGAAAATTGGATCGACGTTACTGTTTCGACGTTGAAACAACGTTGAAATTAGGTTGGCAATCTCGTCAACCATAATTCAACGTTGAATCCACGTTAAAACAACGTTGAGATTGGTTCACAAATCGACGTCGTACATTTAACCATTAATGAACGTTAATTCAACGTCTGTTGGCTGCTGTTGAACCAATGTTTGTAAAACAACGTCAGAGCAACGTAGATATTAGGTTGTCGACGTCGCAACCTTTTTTTCTACAAAATTTCAACGTTGAAACAACGTCGTGTGCCCGGTGAGCGGTGAGATGTGAGACAATACACACATTCCATCAATAACATTAACTTGGGTTAGCATATGTCAACATAACTCTCAAAAAGTGTAAAATTACTGTAGTACTAATATTCATGAGTCATGACAATTAAGTCATTGAAAAGGGCTGTGACCCTCATTAGTGAGCTTAAGCAAGTGACGTTTTTGACAACACTGACGGCATGAGCAACGTCAGAAGACAGGGTCAAGGACTGTGATTGGTGAAAAACGTCAACTTTACCTCCGGTCGACGTCCGTGTTGTCAAAAACGTCACTTGCTTAAACTCACGATTGGCAGTTGTATGCCATTTTCTGTGTTGCCCATGCACTACTATAGTCTGCAAGGCAGACAAGATGCTCTTCGTGTGGCAGTACTCAATATTGAAGATGTAAAAACTTGCCAATAAGGCGATAACTGCATCAAAACAACTGTTGCTTGTTATGGAACTTTCATCCTTTCCCTCGATAACGTATGATTGACAGTTTCTAGTCGTATTCTAGTACGCTGCCAGCGGCCACAATATGAGTTGTGATAAGTTTAAAATTGTATCATTTGCATCTTTGGATTCCTACAAAAAAATACAATTAGAATGTATGCAATAATCCGCAATTACAGAGGGTTATAGGACACATAAGATATAAGGTCTCACCAAGAAACCCAATAATAAAGCTCTTACATACATAAGACACAAAATACCTGAAAAAGTATATCACACCTGACCCCTATAACCCTTCCAAAAGCATTGATTATAACATACAAATATACAGTAATATTTTGAAATATCAAAATATGTGCTGCCTCGCAACAAACTCTCCTAAAAATAAGCTCACTATAAGCGCACAAATATTATTCAAATTTACAGTATACTGTATCAAAAGAAAAATAAATACAAAATTGGAAACTTGAATTTCCATAGCCTGGTACAAGTGATTCAAGGAGACTGCATAAAAACATAATACATGATATACATATAACTATACAATCTTATTTAACCCATTAAGCACCAGGGCTCTCCCCTTTACGAGTAGAATAGGCGTTCGACAGAGTAGAGTAATAAAGTTCAAAATCATTTTGTTTGAGTTACCTCACCTATCTATTTGTTTAAAATTATGTATGGTAGATTCTGTTGTATGAACACTTGCAAAATTACTCAAAAATATTTGAAATATAATGTGACATTATGTTGCCTTGACAACACTTGATACAATGTGAGCCTGTGTTCAGTGCTGGCCAATTGCTAATAGTTCATGTTAAATCAATGTTTGGAAAATATAGGCTAGGCGGGTTGCTGCATGCATTTATTTCTAGTTAAATATTAATTGGACATACTCATGTCACTAGTGGTATTCATTATCTCTTGGTCAGACAAAACAAATTCCATATTTAAGAAGTTTGGCAACCCACAGGTTAAAATAGACATCTTGTGAATTATGTCACAAGCGATTAATACATTTTTGCTGCAGCAAGCAGATTCACCAGAAACATGTAACCTCATGAGTTCACACACCCCAAAACAATACTTTCCTAAAATGACAGCTTTCCTTCATCATTTAATTTTATAACTGGACTTAGCTGATCTGTTCTTATAGTTTTTATATTTTTAGACTTTTTGTTATTCAAGTTTGAAACGAGACCAAGACTGGTAGCGTTTAATTTTGACAATTTAAGAGAATGTAGTTCTGCATTACTGTGTTTCTCTGGATCTCATGCTTAATAAGCCTACCATTTTTAAATTTCAAATGTACAACAGATACTTTGGGCTATTTATTGCCTCTTTCTTTCCTCTTCTATATATTAATAGTTTTTCTTTGGAAAATATCAGTAATCATATTTCTAATCTGTACAGTTCTGTTCCTACACAACATCTTCGCACCCACACATCGTGTTTAGGACTGAAGTTCCAGATCATGGAAATGCTCTGTCAACAGCCCTGCAGGTTCCCAAAGAGTGTATAGCCCATGTATATCATAGTACAAATCATAGAAATAAAATTAAAACAATATAATTATTTCCATTTCAAATGTTTTTTCATTAATGTACAATAACTAGGGAATTTTATGTAAAGTGCAATTCTACATTCTCTTCGATTGACTTGAATATGTTTTTGGCTAGCATTTATTTGATGTAGCTACAACAAATCCACTAAGTTTCAATGGACATAGTCACATAGCATCTCCCTATTTGAAATAAGCCATAAGGCATTATATTTGGTATTTTAATATCTTAATTATTACAGAAATGATTGCACAAGTCATGAGTTTTGACAAATGTTGATCTATATTTTCAATATTAACCCCATTAAGCACCAGCGTTCTCCTCTCGAGGCAGAGTAAAAAAAATAAAGTAGGCCGCAATGCGACTCAATGGGTTAACTATAAACATGGGCAAATAGGCCAGTTAACCCATTAAGCGCCAGCGCCCTTACCTTGACGAGTAAAATCATCTGGTGTTAGACAGAGTAAAATAATAAATTAGGGCACAATGCGACTCAATGTGTTAACAACACACATGGGCAGATAGGCCAGTTAACCCATTAAGCGCCAGTGCTCTTCCCTCAATGAGTGAAATCATCTGGCGTTAGACAGAGTAAAATAATAAATTAGGGTACAATGCGACTCAATGTGTTAACAATTACACATGTGCATGGGCAGATAGGCCAGTTAACCCATTAAGTACTGGTGCTCTCCCCTTATTGAGTGAAATTGTCTGGCGTTAGAAAGAGTAAAATAATAAATAAGGGCGCAATGCGACTCAATCTGTTAACTAGACACATGGGCAGATAGGCCAGTTAACACGTTAAGCGCCAGCGCTCTGCCCTTAGTGAGTAAAATTGTCCTGCGATAGGCAGAGTAAAATAATAAATTAGGCCGCATTAAAGCGGTTTTCCACTAGGCGAAATTTTTCGACCGAATTGAAATTTCTCTTTGTTTCATGAGCTCTCAAGCAGAACTAATTGTAAAAAGACAAAGAGAAATTTCGTTTCGGTCGAAAAATTCCGCCTCGTGGAATCAGGCCTTTAGGGAACAATGCGACTCAATGGGTTAACTGTAAACATGAGCAGATAGCCTAGTTAACACATTGACCGCCAGTGCTCTCCCCTTGATGGGTAAAATTGCCTAGCGTTAGATAACCGGAGTAAAATAATAAATACTTAGTGCGCATCAGGGAGCAATGCGACTCATTGGATTATTAACATCAACGTTTAAAATGTCAAATCTGCCATGCTCAATATAATCATAGATTCGACTATTAATTTGACATGTAAGTCAGATGTCCTGTATACAACAACAACATCAATATACAGTATACTATTAATTAATTAATCAATCAGCCACAAAATTGTCAATCGTGTATTATTCTCGGCCTAAAAGCTAAACCTATTAATCCTAGTTGGTGTTTAGTTTGGCTTTTGCTGCTACTGAAACGACTTTTATATCATTATGTGATTACAGCTCGGAATTACAGTAGGTTCTGCATAAGATTTTATCTGGATTCGATGTTTCACTATTTAGTATCGAGTAAAATCAACAAATAATTATGGATCAAACGAGGATGAGAGTATTTTAATTAAGTTGAAACATAGTTGGAACACTCATCAAAGCTTTAATAATATTTTGTTCATGTGGAACTTGAGTATTTATCCTTTGTGTATTTATAAGCAATTCATGCATGACTTTCATCCTCATTTGACCTTGGCTATAATCTAAAATACCAGTTTAAAAACTTACATTATCAAATGAACCAGTGTTGCCAGTATGCCTGATTCAGGAGATGATTCTTGATTGGGAAAACTAGACTGGGCTACTAGCAAGTGATATGTCGCAGGATTTGAGCTAGTAGTGAACTGGATATTTCAATGTTGTTTGCACTTTTTTCATTGTCGCTGTCACTTTCAACTAGAACCTACATATACAAAAAATAAACAATCTTACATTAAAACGTGTTTCGTATCGTAAACGTGAAGCTATAAGAACATATTTTGAATAATTGATGTCCGCTGTCGTGATTTGGCCATCAGCAAACAACAATCTTCGACACGAAGGTGAAGAAAGTAAATAACATTTGCCAGAATTAGGCTAGTACAGCACGAGGCGTTTCTTAAACGTATTTTCCTAATAAATTGTTTATTTGTCCAAAATATACTGCAACAACGAGGTTTTACGCTTGTATTTTATCCGTATCCCTCGTCGAAGCAAATCCCAACGGCCAACGTTCGATAATGGCGCCAAAAGTTAGTACGCATGCTCGAGAATGATCGCAAACCCGATTGCTCACGGACGGGTGCATTCTCGTTCCCAGTTCCCGCGATCATTAATATTGCACCTAGGCCTTCAATTCTTGTGATTAATTTTTACAAATACCGTATTTATATTTACGATAAAATTACTAAAAATCTGGAAAACAAATTTCAATACCCTACAAAATGAAACATCAAATCTCACCTTGTATAATCCAAAAAACGTCCTCTTCTTTTTCTTTGCGACTGCGAGAATGTGCATTCTTTAAGTTTTATGCGGAAGTTAATTTGATACGATAATACGACGGACAATCGACACAATTAAGAGTCGATTTGTCAGAATGGTCGATTTGACAGAATTAAGACTGTCGATTTGACGGAAGGGTCGATTTGACACAATATTAATAGTCGATTTGACACAATTAAGAGTCGATTTGACAGAAGAGTCGAATTGACACATTTACGAGTCGATTTGACAGAAGGGTTGATTTGACACATTTAAGAGTCGATTTGACAAAAGGGTCAATTTGACACAATTAAGAGTCGATTTGACAGAAGGGTCGATTTGATACATTTAAGAGTCGATTTGACAGAAGGGTCGATTTGACACAATTAAGAGTCGATTTGACAGAAGGGTCGTTTCGACATAAGGGTCGATTTCATTCCAGAGTCGTTTTGACCTATGCAAGAATCGTTCCGCGATGGAGAGCCGAAACGAAGCTCATAGGGGCCAAAGTGTTGATCAAAAGCGGCCCCTTTATGAGGGGCCAAAACAAACCCGGACGTGAGAGTCGTTTTGGTCTGTGGGGCCATATTGGCAATTGATGCGGCTAAATGGAAAATGATGGGTCCGTTACGGCAAAGGGTAGGGCCAATTTGGCTTTCCTCCATATCTAAAATGGCTCCGTCGGTGCAGATCCAGCTCTCCAATGCCAAAATGGCTTTCACATAGGGCCAAAACAGCTTTGGCGACAAAAGGGCTGAAATGGAATTTGGGGTCGATTTGGCCCTTTTTAATTTACAGTGTACAAGCGATATATGCCGGGTGGACCAAATCCCAATTGTGGTAAGATGGGTAGACGTTGAAGCTGCAGAAGCTGTTGAGAAAATTTTGGGCTTCCTTCCTGCCAAACAAGGAGGAACTGCCGAAGCGCTAACAGACACTTTTACTCGACTATTTGCGACATATAACTTTGGATCCCAAACGAATAAGGGGCCAGGGATATGACGAAGCAAGTGTAATGAGTGGAAGCAAAGGCGGTGTCAACATACTGATTTCAAATTTCCTTAAAAGTGAAGAAGTAACATCACCCGCTCCGTTTGTTCACTGTGCTAGCCATAACCTAAACCTTGTTTTAAATTATGCTCTTGAATGCAATGCTATCAGCATCAACTTTTTTTCTGATCTTGAAGAAATTTATAACTTTTTTAACAAAAGCATCAATCGAACAGCGGAGCTTAACAGCACTTACAAATGTTGATAACTCTGCTGAACTCAAGGTGATCAATGAATTCATGGACAGTTTGGTGTCTGACAGTGACGGTGACAATTCTGACTACACTAGCATTAATTCCGGCTCAATCACCCTCAAAAGGAAGAGGAGGAATGGCAAAAATAAGTTGACACTGAAGAAACTGTGTGCCACCAGATGGTCGTCAAGAATTAACTATGTAAGAGCAGTGAAGAATCGATATGGTGATTTGCTCCATGTGTTGAACAAATTGAAAGAAAAAAGGAAAAGATAATACCAAAGAGCGGGACGAAGCAGGAAATTTGCACCAGAAAATGAACATATCTGAATTCGTGATCATGCTCATTATATGGGAAAAGTTACTGATAGCAATTCAGATCGCTTCAGCTGATTACAGTCAATGAAAATGGACTTATGTAAAGCAGCTAAAGAATTAGAGAGGGCCCTGTGTAAAGTAAAAGGCATGCGAGACAAGTGGAATACGATCAAAATGGAAGCAGTGAAATTTGCGTTGAAAGTCGGCGTCTCGTTTACTTTTACATTTAAGAGAATAGGCCGTGTTCCTCGATTCTTTGATGAATTTGCGTCAGACACCAGACCACAGGACCCTGAAGAAAGATTTACTGTCGAGATGTTTTACCGAGTGATCGACACTGCAACCACTCAATTAGAAGAACGCTTCAAGAGCCAGAACTTTGTTGGCAACGCCTTAAAGTTCGAACTTCCTGGAAGTCTTGCATCTTTAGACATCACAGAGATGCGCAAGTCTGTTAACGTATTTGTTAACGAAAATAAAGGAGACATATGCAAAGATGGCGTTGAGGTAGTAGATTACACAGCTGATCTTATGGGTGAAATTGAATCGTTTCGCTGGTGTTTCGGAAATCAATTGAAGCGTATGTCAAGTGTTTCCGAGGTACTCGCCCTGTTAAAAGAGGTGGACATGAGTTCCTACTCTAAGTTATTATCAGCTGTTGTCATATTTGTCACTCTCCCAGTCACAGTTGCGAGCGCAGAGCGATCATTCTCAAAGTTGAAACTTATAAAGAATTATCTGTGTTCAAGTATTTCTCAAGATCGTATGGATTCATTGGCCATCCTTTCTATTGAGAACACAGAAGCGTGGTCTTTGAATATGGAGAAACTAATTGATAAATTCGCTGAGAAAAAGCACGAATCAGCAAATTCAAAGTTTGAACTATTGTGAATTGATCTATCTTCAGTTTAGACTATTCAGACAATTGAATTTTT